ATACCAATGGCGAACCCTGGATGTAAGATAAATTCTTCCGCTATTTCTCTGCATTAACCTGGAGTTGTTGTGACCTTTCAGAGAGCACACGATCGAACTCAATACATGCAGTTGATCTCAATATCGAGATTTTCTCCTAACCAATCAAAAACTAACGTATTACTCATAAAGTGGTCTTGGTAACTACGCCAATTACATCAAGACATACACGTTGCCTCTCTGTGCTTCAGGAGATTACAACAGCAATGGTGACTGCTTCGTGAGTGAACTCCCAACAACAATGCATAGCTGCCATACTTGGCATTGGGCATGTCTAAATCACAAGCCACTTGTCACTGACTCACTGGGACACAGGGAACACAGAATGAATCATATTGGGCTAGTATTGAGAACAGTGTAACTCGCTCATACGTCTACACAAGCTGCACGGAACAGGTGAGAATATTCTAGTAACACGCTACACTAAGCCTTGTGCTAATCCATGCTCTCAAAGGGCGCATACATCGACGCTCCCAAAGAAGGCCCAAGTCTGTTGTCTCGCGTCGTGGACACCAGTTATGAACAGCAATGGTGCACATGGGCCTTCCCCGACGGAAAGTACAACTCGGTCCCGTCTAGTCCGGACCTGGAGGTGTACCGGAGCTTCGGAGGCTTCAACTTCACCGCCGACAGACTAGCCTTCATCGACGGCGACCAGGATGTCTGGAACGATCTGTGCTACCACTCGAACTTCGCGCCGCCGAGGACGGAGTCGTCGGACCTGCATCCCGAGTTGCTGATCACGGGAGCGGGACACCACTGGGATTCCTCTGGCATATTGGATGTTGAAGCTGAGCCGCAGTTCATCAGGGAGGCTCATAAGTGGGAGATAAGAACCGTGAAGAAGTGGCTTAGGGACTTTGATACTTGGAAAAGGTCGAAACGTGCATAGTCACCCTTCAGAAGGGAACTTCTTTGAAGAATCGTTAGTGGCCTGCTAAAGGCAGTGCCTTAACTTATTATACAAGTTAACTTTTCTCTCGTGCTTTCTTGGCACCAAGTGCGTCGTCTCTGATAGCCATCCTTAGTGACGAGTTTCTCTTATGGGGATTATGTTCCTATGTTATTTCTCATAATACTATGTCCTGCTAGCCACGAACCCTATTCCTTATCATCTATGTTTGTGGATAAGTTGGGTGCGAGAGTCCTTGTAGCCTAGCCCTCTACTTACTCCAAGTATACCATCAAGAGCTGAAAGGCGCTTTTAGAGATCTTTGCCCAGTACGAGCGAATTGATTAGAATAGCAGTAGACCTCATCTAAGAAAGCGAGATTCTGTGCGCTTGAAAAAATACGAAGCCTTCCCAAAGGCGTCAGCCTCCTCCTCTAGGACCATTCTAAACCTCTCTTTCACTCTGGCCAAGGCATTTTCCCGCCATTCCGTTACGTAGGCGACGATATCCTCGATGCTCCCTGTGAGAAGAAGGTTTCTCTCTCGAATAACAAGAGGGTCATCCCACTTTGCGCGACAGACCAAAGCGTTCGAAAGGTTCCCAAGGCCATCGAGGGGCAATGCTGCTGGGAACCTAGAGGGCGGACCATCAGAGTAGTTTTTACTTTTCCATCGGCGAAAAGCGTTCCGCGGTATCGTCAGGGCAATATGGGAGTCGGCCAGATCCCGCCACTCGCCAAACCAGGGGGCCTCCAATGTGGACATGTCATCCTCGAGTCTAATAAATTGAGGCGCCATGGTCCTTCGCCTTGGTTTCGTGCTGGGATTATCTCCATACGGCACTGTTGCCATGGTAAGTCTCGCCTCCCCTTTCTTGCAGCCGGCGGGAATCCACTCGCAACCAAATTTCGACTGGTCGTCCTCAGTGTAATGAGTGTCGGTCATCTTGTAAGGGAATTTGGCGAGGTCGTTGAGATCACGCGATCTGAGATCGTTCCACCAAGCTGCATAATGGTGATGCATTCCGCGTAGTACCATTGAACTGTCTTTGTTCTCCTCGTCCAGTGATACGGATCCCACAAGCATATTCACTCCTATGTTCCAAGCCACACCGCGATACAGGTCTATGTCAAGCTTCTTGTACGAGCTATCCTCTCCTTTAATAGAATATCTGGTGTGCTGAGGACATGAGACTAGCCTCCAATGTCGATCTGGACGTAAAGCACAATGCAACATCCAGTACACTGGATCTTGCCTCATCAATTGCTGACATAGCGAATGCAGCTGACCATATGTCCATCCCGGATCTGATTTTCTGCTTTCATCAGACAGATGGTAGCGGTACATATTGAACTCGATGTCGATCATACGGCATAATTCCTCGTCCTCCATCCACCAAGTGAACACAGGTACATTCACTGAGCCACATGTTTCGAATGTAGTTTCAATGTCGAGGTGTGAGCAGCCCAATAGCGTTTCAACATTCCGAAGCACGAGCTCGGGGTCAAATTCGAACGCCGCGACTGGCTGGGGTGCATACTTGTAAACCCCGAGTTGATCGTGAGGGTGGCTTGGCCGGGATTCCTGTCGAAACCAATGGTAGGTATCTTTATCGGTCTTCAGCTTGGAAATCATGGCTTTATTTTCGCGGATCTTCCAAAGTCGTGAGAGGGTCTCGGAGCGTGACAGCAGATGTATCTTCAGACCAATCATAGAGCCCATCTTCCGCGCGTGTTGGTAGCAGACGTACCGAAACTTGGACATGGCCTCGAGATGCTCCAGCTGCTCTTCGATAAGAACGCCTTTGGCATTTCCAAGTTTCTCAATCCAGGAGTCGGGAACGTCAAGGCTGCAACCGCACATTTTCCTCCCGGGAAGAGCTTGTCGCACGTCGTCGTCTTCGTCGCTGCTGATATCGCTTTCGGGTTGGTAGCTAGCTGTCTCCCATAAATCTGATGACTCTGCCTTCGTCGAACTCGAAGTAGTTTCTCCGCTTGTCGACATGGCGTCTAATTCTCTGTGACCATCTGATTCGCCTACGGAAGCTCTGTCCGAACCTTCACCCCTTATACTAGCATTTTGACTAAGTCTCGAACCTCGACGTGAGATGTCATCGCCTTCGACTGCGCCATCACCCGGAAACTTATTATCGCCCATAGAAACGTCGCCGACACCTGTAAGATTGACCGCGCCACCATCAGAACCACTCAACGATGCCTCCCCCGCCGCCACAGACTCAATAATCCCAAAAGGGCCCATGCGCATCCCATTCTTCTTCAACCACTTCTCCGGGACCGGCGTCGTGAAATCCAACGGCTTGCGGCGACAGTCGCCCCTCGTAGCGCAGACGAGATCGATTGTCGTGACATAGGTATTCAATCGGTTGCCCCTGGCGCGATAGCTCAGCCTTGCCTGCACAGCGGCATTGACCCTGCGCGCGGCCTCGTCCCAAGCATGGAAGCGGCGGGAGAAGGTGCGCAGGGCGTCGAGGAAGGACTTGGAGCCGTGCAGGTGGGGCGGGAGGGCGTCGACCCAGGCGCCGGCTCGGGGCTCGTGGGCCCAGTTGCCGGCGATGGTGCGGCGGGCCTCGTCGCGGCGGTTGCGCTGGGCGCGGCGCTCGCGCGCGAAGGAGAGTTCGTCCTGGAAGTGCTGCTCGAACTCCTCTGAGTTGAGGACAGATTTGTAGGCTGCGTCGGATTCCACGTAGAGCATGTACTGCTCGAAGGCGTCCGCGTAGTTCGTCACCTTGGCAAACGCCTCGCGCGCGATGAGTTCTTGTGCGTGGAAGCGCGCGGAGGCGAGCGGGATCGCGCGCAGGTAGGAGATCGCCTCTGGGAGGGAGGGGAAGGTGAGGCCCTCTGGCTTGGGATTTCGGGAGTCCGCCATGGTTGCGGATGGGTTTGGGTCAGGACAGTTCGGTTGAAAGAGGGAAGGCAGTGGTAAGGTGGGAGATTGCTGGTGAATGGGATTATCACCTGGGTGACTCGAGGGACAAAGGATGTCCCCGAACAATAACATAGAATCCTTTTTGTTGAAAACGGCATATGCCCTGTCTCAGATTTACATCAAAGAAACGGCTATATGTATTCTTTATTTTATCTACAATTCATAGAGGGACTTCCTACTGCTCCAATGGCGTGAACGTCTGTATCATGCTATAGCCACAACCCCTGAGCTCAAAATAATATATGTTGATATCACCAGTCACGATTATTTCTTATCGATTATCTCCAAGATATCATGAAATTCTGAATAGCGCTTTCCTCAATTATTAATAATTAGCGGTTCCTTCGTGTTAGTTCTTCGAGGGAAGAAAACGATAAGCAATCCGTCTATGTGAGCGTTGAGGCAAGCGGACTTATGAGCACCAACTAGGAGCTGGTCAATTCATAACCAGTCTGCAAGTCTACTTGGGGCTCCTTCTGCAACAATGATTTAAGATAGTATTATCTAAAGACTCGTAGTCTTTCAGGAGATAGCTTAGTTATGCTCTTGAATATGATCATGAGCATATGTTTGCTTATTAGCAATCCGACATTGTATTTTGCAAATACGGCTAAACATTAGAAATACTTAACTTATACCTTCTATAAATTGCAACGAATGCATTACTTATGAGAGCTTCTTAACATCAACAACTATGCAATGTCGTAACTTCTCTACTTAGTATCGGGATGACTTCCTGAACACCGAGATATATGTAAGGCGTTGTAGAAATTTGGTAGTTCGATCCGGATACGAAGACGGAGAAAAGGGTTTAATCTCATACAAAATCATATCCAAAGATATTGTATCTGATATCAAAGCCAGATGCCCAGGTCGAATGTGTGTTGCTCACTGTATTTGTCATCATGACTTGAATAGGAGGTACGTACTGGGAAGGATGCAGGGCCTCAACATTTGATCTATCAGAAAAATCAACTTTATTGAGGTGTTTCCAGCACATCTAGGACTCTGCGAATAGGGGTAAAAGCGAACTAACACCGTGGGCAGACGTCTGATACGTGAGGTAGCCGCCAGCTGCATTTTGGACGCTATATAACAAACACTAAGTGCCAAGTCTGCACAACGGGTTCATGGCCTAATGGTAAGGCGTCAGATTTCGGTCATACCTTAATGAATACTCTGAAGATTGCAGGTTCGATCCCTGCTGAGCTCGCTTTTTGCCAATTAATTCTTCAGGAATTAGGTGCATGCTCTTTAGATGCTCTTTCCCGATTCAGGGACGGCTGACTTCGGAGTCATTTATTTTTGTATTTCACAAACGCACTTTACGAAAATGACCATTTTCAATTCTGTGCCTTCCTCGCTACCGTGACTGTGCATACCTTACGTTATATGCCTGTACATATGTACATGTATCTTATCTTTTGGTCGGGACCCCGCTATGCGTAATTATTAGTGTAATTCCCTACTACATACATAATAGGCGAGTGGCCGAGATCGGTCTGCGTCGTTTTCACCGCTCCAGGGACCAATGGTGACGGATTCAAAATTACTTGCAGCGTGTCTCACCGGAATCGTCCATCCCCCATCATACAGGCTGGGAGCACCGGCTGTCCATTCCTTTTACCCCTACCCTACCCTGCTACCCCAACTAGTTCAGGTTGGTGGTCTATAGTGGTCTATCGTCTCCGTGGGCGCCACCTCTGAGCACTTGCGACTAAAAGTCTACCTACCATGTCTTCTTCCCTGCCGGGGAAGCGAGAGCTGCCCGAGTCGCAATATGATCTAACCACCTACTGGGGCCGTGTCAAGCAGACTGCGGCGATCACAGACCCTAGGTAAACTATCCTTACCGTTGTATACTGGGCGTTCCCAGCGCATTATACTGACAATGCATTGGCAACTCGCAGAACCCTCTTCGTCGGCAAGCATGGCCTCGAGCAGGCAAAGCAGCTGGTGGTGGCGTACAAGCAGGACGAGATCGCCGACATGTCGCCCGCGCTGTGGAACGCAAAGAAGATCGTCGATTCTACGATACATCCCGGTATGGCGAACTGACTGCACCCGCCGACATCTTACCTTTCCTACCATACGCTCGAGCAATGGAGGAGCTAATCGAGGCTCGCAGACACCGGAGAGACCGTTCTCCTCCCCTTCCGCATGTCCTGCTTTGCGCTGACGAACCTCGTCGTCACGGCGGGAATGCTCACGCCTGGTCTCAAGGTACGTATGCAATGCGATCCGAAGATGGCGGCTGCTTCAGCTTGGAAGACAAGACAGTGGGCTAACTTACCAACCCGCACCACAGAACACCGGCACCGTCCTCTGGCAGATCACCAACCAGTCCGTCAACGTAGCCATCAACGCGGCGAACGCGAACAAATCGACGCCCCTCTCGTGGTCGAAGGTCGCACAATCCTACTTCCTCGCCGTCGGCGCCTCGTGCTCGGTAGCCGTAGGGCTAAACTCGCTGGTGCCGCGCCTGCGGCGCGTCTCGCCCGCCACGAAGGCCGTGCTGGGGCGTCTGGTCCCCTTTGCGGCCGTGGCGTCCGCCGGCATGCTCAACGTGTTCCTGATGCGGGGCGAGGAGATGCGCACGGGCATCGACGTGTACCCGGTGCTGTCGGAGGCGGACAAGGCGGCGCTGGCGGCGGCGGGCAAGGCCGAGGGCGAGGTCGCCAGCCTGGGCAAGAGCCGCAAGGCGGCCACGCTGGCCGTCAGCGAGACGGCGCTGTCGCGCGCGCTCAACAGCAGCCCCATCATGGTCGTGCCGCCGCTGATCCTCATGCGCCTCCAGCGCACGGAGTGGCTGCGCAAGAACCCGCGCTACACGCTGCCGGTCAACCTGACGCTGATCCTCGGCATGAGCTACCTCGCGCTGCCGTTCGCGCTCGCGGCGTTCCCGCAGAGACAGAAGATCAGCGCCGAGAGCCTCGAGGACGAGTTCCATGGCCGTGGGGGCGAGGGCGGGTTGGTCGTGTTTAATCGCGGCATTTGAGTTGGTCAGGTGTGTATATGTGTTGTATACGACGTGGATAGAGAGATGGATAGATATATCGATAGATAGATCTCGGACATGACAAAACAAAAAGATGGCATGGATCGGTCGGTGGGTTGGTCGGTCGGTCGTGGCGTTATAGCGGTAGAGAGCTTCCTTAGCTACGTATGGGAGGTAGGTAGTCGGGCTGGCTTGGCTTGGCTCGGCTGCCTACATGATGATGCTATGCCATGCAATGCATGATGAGTATGTAGGCGTTTCGAGGCTTTTGCAAGAGAGCAAGAGGCGAAACGGGAAGACTTCAAGATTCGAGTCCAAGGACCAAAGAACTATAAATGATGTCGTCATAGGTCTAGCCAACCTAGACATTTCATGTATAGGAGAAAGGAGAACGCCGTTGTTATATTACCTATGTATATACATTCACCGGCGTGAAGAAATAAAGACAGATAGACAGCATCACACCGGTGTCACACAGATCCCACCTGATTGACCGTTTCGACATGGGCCCTGCCCGGCTGCCCTGCGACGTGCTGAGAGATGGATCCGGTGAGGCGGTAAGGGCCTCGCGTTTCAGCTGCTCAGCCAGCGGTGTTGGGACTGGCTTTCTGTCTTGTCTGACTCACTCTCACTCTCACTCTCATTGCTCTGTTGCGTGAAATTGTACATGCACGCATACAGAAGACACATGAAATTAGGTACAATACATACAAATCGGCTTGTATGTGCTGTTGTTAGTTAGTTAAGCTATGTAGCTGGGGTAGATAGGACGGGCGGGAGAACCCGGTTATTATGATGTAAAACTATAACACGAGCAAGGAACTGACTACCTTAACAAATATTTTTCTCACGGCCTCATGCAAATAGGTACCAACATCGCCGGGCTTCCGGGTCTCAGCTTAGGCACTCGTTTACTTGCTCCCATGCAACTGCGAGTTCTCGGTAGATTCTAACCAGGCACATAGACGATGGACAGACATCACATCACATCACATCACCTCTTCGCTGGCGGTTTTTTTTTTTTCTTGACTTGACTTGACAACAACACCCTATGTATGTAGGCTAGGTAGGCTAGGTAGGCTAGGTAGGTTAGGTATCTGGGTATGTATGTAGATGATCGCCTCGCGCGTATCGTGTCGTGTCGTGTCGTGCCGGGGGTTACAGGGATGGGAAAGATCCGGAAGGCGGCGATGGGCTTTCCATACATATATACATATATATATCAGGTTCGAGAATCATCACATACGCATCTAGAACCAACCGTGGCCGACTAACCTAACCTAACCTAACTGCCAGCACAGTAGGTAGATAGGTACCTAGGTAGCCTGCCTAGTTTAAGTAGGTTGAGAACATTCATTTGTGTGCATGTGTTCGCGTGGAGGGGTCCCATCCATCATGGGCATGGAAAGTATGTAAGTACCTAGGTAAAAGTGTTGGAAAAAGTTGGAGGGGAGGGGAGGGGCATCGAGGTTGCACTGCAGGTTGGTTGTTGGCATTTTGATGGGCTGTCATCGATGGGCAGCAGCTGTCTGTCTTCCATCTTGTAACTGTATGGAGTTTAGGGGTATAATGTATGCACATATTGATGTGTGTAAGTAGGTAAGCTGTGCTGCTGCTCCTGTTTAGTTAGTCCCCTGCAACTTACATAGAAAAAGGTTGCTGCGGGATCGTAATTAAGTCCAGTCGTGTGTGATATGTACATATGTACGTTATGTGGTGTATGTATGGATATGTATGGATGTTGTTCACTCGACTCCATCACCGCTAGGTGCAGATGCAGGTGGTACCTGTCTTTCCGCGGCCTTGGCGTTTCCGTCCCAGCAAGCCGAAAATTGTGAATTATTAATTGCATACGTAGATAGAGAGAGAGAGGTGTTATCCTGCACGATGGCATGTATGTAAGCTCAGGGACACACAGACAGACAGACAGACAGACAGACAGACAGACGTTAAATCTATGTAGTTTATAACAGCAATACACGTTGGGGCTGACGAAAAAGAAGGGGTCTCGGGTTGTGAGTTAAGAAGGGTCTAGTGCGTGTTATGTACGGAATTGGCGCCGAATACTATGAGAATGTGAAGGCTTCGTGGTCCTCTTCGTAAAGGATTGATCGGCAAGGCTGACGAGCGGCGCTGCAGGCAGGGCAGGTTGTTGCAAGCGTGTCCTGACGTAACCTCTCACAGTATGGACGCACCAAACCTGACTGGCTTGCAGTATGTGGAAAAAAAGGGCTCGTGGACGGAGTAGGCAATATGTACGCAGTATGTGCGGTCAAGCCGGTATGGATAGGAAGGCCAATTTATCCAGGCGAAGCCGCGAATACCCAGTATGTGTGCTTCTGACTCTCTTAGAGCTACTGTATATCTCAGCGGCTGTATTGATAAAATGGATAGGTCATTGTAGTGCATGTAAGACCCTTTTCGACGGAGGTGAGAGTTGATAAGTCAGGGAACGGCCCAGAGCGGCGGACTCGGTTAAGGCTAAGTGGTTCTAGGAAAGGGGTACTGACGGATGAATGAGTTCATTCGGGCATGACTTACAGACCTCGCATGCAGGAGGGGAGAATGTTATTAGGTAAGTGACTAGTTGTTAGTCGGGTGCTACGAGTAATGAGATGCTACTCAGTCTGAGACTTGGCACCCCAAAGAACTGTCACTTGAACTATCCTGTGGTCTCAAGACTAAGGCGGCTTAGGTGACTAAGTTCTGTAGGTCTCAAAAGTTCAAGGTAAGGCAGAGTTGAAGAAGAGAGGACGGTTTCTGAGGCGCATGGCTTAACTTCTGCAGCGCTCCGGATTTCACACTTTCCACCTCAGTATTGGACGTATGTACGTACATACATATAGTGCACTTCTAGAGGCTGGTTAATGAGAGCTAAGTAGCGCTCGGAGGCCAACAAGGTCACCTAAAAAAGCAACGAGTGAGGCCTTTCAATAAGAATATGCCCTTGCAGTCCTCGGTGTGAAATCGCAGTAATTTCTTATACGTCAGGCTTGAGCAGACAATTTGAGATTGCTTGTTTGGCATTCTTTGGTTTGGCAGAGAGGAACTGAGAACCATCGACTCATTTATGCTGTCCAAAGATATGCCTTACTGATGTGTACACATGAGGATGCTGACAGCAGGTCGGTTCGGCATGCTCGAACCGTAGAACCCGGAAAGTTCCCGTGGGCTTGAACGAGGTAACCTCAGTTAAAAGTCAGAGTATAAGGGCC